CTAAAATGAATGAAGTCTTGTCATACTGCATAATTTTGCAGTTTTAAGAATTATTAGAAACAACCTGATGAAACTGCATAATTTTGCAGTTTGAAGAATTATTAGAAACAAGCTTTACTGTATGAAAATATATGCAACCACAAACAAGTACACAAACAATCAGAAGTACAAGCACAATAATAATAACAAGAAGAAGAGCAACAACAACATCAATGACAACAATCATTTTCACCATAATAATCAGAAGAAGATCATTCCCAAAAGTATATAAAGTACTTGTCACATGTTAAAAAAAAAAAAAAAGTACAAAGAGATGTTCACTTGAATATTTGTATTGTCAAGAAGTTTGTTCATTGTTTCTATGATTTGGTATGTTTTGTCAACATTTGGTAGTGCTCGAGTTTCCAAGATCGGTTCTCATCATTGAGGAATTGGCTGACGATTTCTGCTCGAAATTTGACCCACTCAGTTGGTCGAGGTGATTTCTGCACAGGTTGCCAGTTGATATATTGGTTGATAATATTGCAGACGGCGATTGCATAATTATTCCTGCAAAGTTTTAGATGAAGTTAATTAGTTAGGTAAAACTTCAAAATTTAGCATATTGGAAGATTAGTTTATTAATTTTATATCTTACGAGTGTGAGTTTTGTTGTGAGCATTCCTCAATTGATGCAATTACTGTCTCACACTCTTGAGATGATAACATGTTTCCTTGATTGCTGAGTAATGCTTTATTCCATCTCAATTGATGTTGTTGCTACAAAATAGTTAGTGGGTGTTTTTGTTAGTTATAGTGATGAGTTGAGATGTTTTTAAAGGAATAGAACTAAGTAGGAAATTTTATTTAACTTACAATTTCCTTTGCAATTTCAAAGTGCTTGTTGTGGCAATCTTTTGCTAGTCTCAAAGAGTCATAGCGTCTCCATATCCCATCAGCATTGTCAAAGACCACAATTGTCCAATGGTTGTCGTGGTTGATTGGGAAATGGATATATCTGTTTTTCATTGCTTCTGGAAAATGGCTGTCCATCATTTTTTCTCTCAGTGTTTGATCTTGGTTTTGTAGTGGAGTCTGTAAGTTATATATATGTTTGAAATATGTTATAAAACTATGTAATAAGACATGTTAAGAAAGTAGAAAATTTTGTAGTTGAAAGGTATGTTAAGTTTTGCTTACATTGATGAGTGTTGAGAAAACGTAAGATCTTCCCGCGTATGGATTTCTTGCAATGGTTAGATCATTTTTCTCAAATTCTTCAATGGTTGGTTGGAGTGCCAATTGCTTTTCTGAGAAGGTATCAATGACCTGAAACATGTTATATATGAGAATGTGTTAGGTTTGTGGAATAAGTTATTGAATATGAACAGAAGCTGTAAAATTGTGCAGTTGGAGACCTACATTCCCATATAAGGGTTCCCTATTGGTCAATATGCATATATCTAAAAAGTATACGCAATTTTCATCTTCGCTGCCAGACCAGACACAAGCACTTGATTGTGTGTTGTTGATGAGTTGAATTCGGTCTTGGTCTTTTTTGGATAGGCTATGCCAAACCTTGTTTGTTTTACGACATAAAATGGCGAGTGACTTGTTTTGGATTGATTCTTCCTTGAAATCATCATCACTTTCCAATACTTGAAGTTATGTCTTCTCTTGATTGGCATGCTCTTTTGGGTTGGTTTCAGCAGCAACTGCTTTCTCTTAGCCAATATATTCTTGCATCTTTTTTTTCTGCTGTTGTTTTGCTTCATGAGCACCCTCTTTTTGCTCGAGTTCAGTAGCAGGTTCTGTCTCTGTTTCGATTTCTTCTTTTTTCTTTTCATTCTTCTACTCTTTTTCTTCATCGGTACCCTCTGTTGGTTTGGGTACATCAGCAGCAGTTTGTGTCTTGTTCTTTGTATCTTCTTTGGCTTTTGTCATTGGTTGGTATTTAAAATCTGGGTCATGTGCTTGTTTTCTTGACTTTTGTTTGATTCTCTTGACCATTGATCTTTGTTGGGGACTGCCAGTTTTTTTGGTGGACATTTCCTTCAATTGATCTTCTTTTTACGCAATTCAGCCATGAATTTTTGTTCCATATCTTGCATTTGTGCTCTCATGGCTGATATGAGCTTGTTCTTGTCGTCCTCTTTGGTTGGTGTTTGTGGTTGGTCATGACCTATAAAAATGTTGGATTGTGTTTTGCTTAGTTTAATTAAATTTTGCAGTTTGCTTTAGTATTAGATAATAGTTTACCTTGTGCATGAAATATGTCTGATTTCTCTTGGAGTTCTTCTTGTTGGTTTGTCAGTTCTTGTTCATTGACTTCTTGTTGTTGGTTTGTTTGCTGTTCTTCTTGTTCTTGTTGTTGGTTTTCTTCTTCATCAGTGTCTTCTGGTTGATCACCTTTTGCTTCTTGTCTTTCTTCTGCTTCATCATTGTCCTGTTGTTCATCAGGTTCTTCTTCTTCTTCTTCTTCTTCAGTTTCTTCTTCATCAGTCACTTGTTTTTTTTTCTTCATCACTCTCTTCTTCTTGTTCATCACTTTCTGGTTCTTCTTGTGGTTTTTGCTTTCTTTTTTTCTTTTTTTTTTGTTGTTCTTCTTGTTCTGATCTGATTGATGTTCTTCTTCGAGAAAATTATCCTTATCACTGTCTAGAAGTCTTTTTTTTTTTTTTTGTTGCTTTTGTTTTCTTTTTTCGCTTATTGTTCTTTTTGTGGTCATGTTTCTTTGCTGAAGAGTCTGTTGATGTGCTTTGATTGACATGCAATAACTGTATTTCTTGTTCAGTTGGGGTTAAAGCACTTTGGTTAACCTGCATTGGAACAATGTGGCATATATCAGTAATACTGTAAAATTGGTCAGTTTCATAAGATGAGTTGTACTGTGAGTAATGCGGGTTAAGTGTCAAAATATGTTGCTTGAAACTGAAAAATTTTATAGTTTCCTAATATGAGTGATGTGAAGTAGATTTGTGCGTTTAAACTGTAAACTTTTACAATTTCATAACATGAGTGATGTTGGTGGCGGGTGGCAGGTGGTGGCGAGTGGGTGGTGGTGGTGGTGGTGGTGGCGGCGGCGGGTGGTGGTCACAGGTGGGTGGCAGATAGCGGGTGGTGGTAGGTGGCGGTGGTGGTGGCGGCGAAGGGTGGGTGGTGGTGGTGGTGGCGAGTGGGTGGCAGGTGGGTGGGGGGTGGGGGTGGTGGCTGGTGGCTGGTGGTGCACTGTTATCTAGGGTCGAGTCCCTAGTTTGAATGATTGTAAATATTGTGTATACTGTTCTGTACTGTTTATGTATAAATGTATGAAAAATCTTTTTGGCATATAGACTGTCACAGCTCAATGGACACTACTTATTTACTGTATTGGCTTCCGCCAGGCCCTGTACTCTGTTTTACTGTATTACTGTTCTGCAGGCCTTCGGTAATCTCGGATTACTGGCCGGTTACGGTGCTAAACCCTTAGGGCCGGGTTTGGGTCGTGACAAGAGAGCATTTATAGTGGGCCAAAAAGGGGGTTTTTTCCAGCTCTGTCTGTTGAGCTTTTATGAATTTGACCCCCTTCAATAGTTTGATTACTGTTCCGATGTTGGAACGGTAATTAAATTGTTGGACTCTATTTGTAGGGACTGCTGCTTTTTTCCCTTTTGAAGCCTTGGTTTTTGTTATGGGAGTTGATTGGCTTTCTTGGAGCTTTCTTTTTTTGGTTGGAGGAGTTTCTTGTTTTTTTGTTGGCTTTCTTTTGTTTGTTTTTGTTGTGGTTGGAGGTGTGGTTGGTGTTTGTTGTGTGGGTGGGGTCTGTGGTGTAGTTCTTGGGCTTTTTCTTATAGGTAGTATGGTTGTTTTGTGGGTTTTTTGGTGGGTTTTGTGGTGTTTGGTTGTTTTTGGTTGTGGTGGTTGGGTTTTTTGTAGAGGGGGAGATGTTGGTGGCATTTCAGTGGATACAGGAGACGGACTTTCAAAATATGAGATACTTAAATCCTTGATTGGATTTTTGGGCATATGGGTTTATTTCTTCCAATATCTTCCAACAGCTATTTCTGAAAAAATGAAAGTGACAGCAGGATATGAGTAATATAGTGACAAAAATGTATAATTTTGAAGTTTTATATGCAGTTTAATATGAAGTTATATGTATTTGTTGGTAATAGTTACGAAACTGTATAATTTGACAGTTTGATTTGCACTTTATAATAAGTTACTTATTTGTTTTGAGTAGTGATTAAACTGTGTAATTTTGTAGTTTCATTTGCAGTTTGAATAAATTTAGATATGTTACTTGTAGAGTGATGAAATGAAACTCTATGATGTTGCAGTTTTTATAAACAGTATCAACAATAGGAACGGCCCATTGTATTTTGTAAACAGCAACAATAACAATGAGAAGATTAAGTATTCAAAAATAACAATAAGAAAAGCCAATATTGAACAACAAGAATAAGAATAAGATGTTGAATGTGTAAAAACAGGGATTTATGTGTAAAAACAGTGGATTAGAACGTTTAAAAACAGGGGATTAGAATGTTTTAAAGCATATAAAAGAAGGTTTATACATTTTGAAGTATGTAAAATGTGTATATACGAAATATGAAAGAATAATGTACAAATTTGAATGAAAAATAATGAATAAGTGAAGAGAGATGTTACTTTTTTTTCCCCATTTCTGTGAATCGGAAGTCAGGAACTATGAAATTTCTTCAGAGTGGTGATGGTTCTTCGTGTTGTTGAGAGTCGTCAATTGGAGAATATGAACGGCTTGGTGTTGTGTTGAAGATGAACGGTTTCGTTTTGTGGTTATGGTAGGGTTTTAGAGGGAATGGAGTCAAACGTAGGAGAGATGGAGGAGTGGGAATGCGATTTTGAGCGGCGAAGATGTAACAGTGTACTGATCAAACTGAGATGATCGTGGGTGATGAAGATGAACGGTTTCGTTTTGTGGTTAGGGTAGGGTTTCAGAGGGAATGGAGTTGAACGAAGGAGAGATGGAGGACTGAGAATTCGATTTCAAGCGGCGGAGATGTGACAGTGTACTGATCAGACTGAGATGATCATGGGTGATGGTTGCACGCGTGTAAATTGGATGATATATTGTGGGTATTTTCGTCTTATTGATAATTTGAGGACTTAATGGAGTATTAAATTTATTTTGGGCCTAAATGGGGTATGATATGTTGGGCTTGGACCTTTGGGTCAGTTCCCTATTATTTATTTTTAAGATTGGAATGCTCAAATAGGAGGCCCTATTTATTTGGGCCTAATAAGGTGTCATCCATGGTTTCAAATATCAATCAACACATACAGTTTGGGCCGATCTTTATCAACACATACAGTTTGCCTTTCTGATATTGATCTGTCTTTAATAAATTCATGAAAATAAAAATAAAATGTGTATAAGTTGATTCTCAAAATGTTTCGATAACTGAAGAATTTGACAGTTTCATAACATGATTTTTACTATAATGACTGTGAAATGAGTGTTGAATAGATTTGTGCTATGATAGTATAGAAGAGTTTGAATACCTTTTCAAAGTGAGGAAGGTTGATGTGTTTCCACTTGGAGTACATTTTGCCAAGGTTCCATTTCATAAACCTTGGGAAGCCTTGTTTGTTGGATGGTCAGAGGAGTTTACTATGCTCACAGTACCAGTACTGTAAAAAAAAATTGAAATATGTTAGATAGTTAGAAATAGGTGGATGCCTAATATTTTTGTGTGAAGTAGTTGGGTAATGTGTTTACCAAGAGTAACATGACGCATCCAGTGATATGCCTTGGGTTGTTGTTTGCATTTGCCATTGAATTCATCAGTGTGTCTTTTATTGCCTCAACCCAATTGTGCTTCTTGATGTTGTTGAGATTGTCAAATAGTTTAGGAAACTTCAACTGAGTGTATGGTCTGTTGTAGGCATGAGAAGTTTCAAGCACAAGTAAAGGGTGATGACCCTTGCAAGATCTTGACGATCATTGGTTGATTTTCCTTTTTTTGTTTGTTGAAACATTTTGGTCAAAGACTTGCCATCCAATCTCTTTACTGATTTGCATCTTCGTTTGTAAAATGGAAGCTCAAAATCCTTTGGTCTTGCATAGGATTTGGTGGTGATGCTGTCTTCTCCACAGTCGATACCAAAAATGAGCTTGACATCACTGTTTCTGAGTTTCATTTCCTTTTTGCCAAGTATAAATGCTCTTTTTCTTTTGTTGTAGAGTGTTGTCATTTTTGCTACAACGGAATTGTAGCATCTGCACCAAGAGGCCTTCAGTTGTGTTAAGGAGAGAGCATTTATAATGGGCCAAAAAGGGGTTTTTTCCAGCTCTGTCTGTTGGGCTTTTATGAATTTGACCCCCTTCAACAGTTTGATTACTGTTCCGATGTTGGAATGGTAATTAAATTGTTGGACTATATTTGCAGGAACTGCTGTTTTTTCTCTTTTGATGCCTTGGTTTTTGTTATGGGAGTTGATTGGCTTTCTTGGAGCTTTCTTTTTTTGGTTGGAGGAGTTTCTTGTTTTTTTGTTGACTTTCTTTTGTTTGTTTTTATTGTAGTTGGAGGTGTGGTTGGTGTTTGTTGTGTGGGTGGGGTCTGTGGTGTAGTTCTTGGGCTTTTTCTTGTAGGTAGTATGGTTGTTTTGTGGGTTTTTTGGTGGGGTTTGTGGTGTTTGGTTGTGGTGGTTGGGTTTTTTGTGGAGGAGGAGATGTTGGTGGCATTTCAGTGGATACAGGAGACGGACTTTCAAAAGGAGAGATACTTAAATCCCAGATTAGATTTTTGGGCATGTGGGTTTATTTCTTCCAATATCTTCCAACAGCTATTTCTGAAAAAATGAAAGCGACAGCAGGGTATGAGTAATATAGTGACAAAACTGCATAATTTTGAAGTTTTATATGCAGTTTAATATGAAGTTATATGTATTTGTTGGTAACAGTTACGAAACTGTATAATTTGACAGTTTTATTTGCACTTCATAATGAGTTACCTATTTGTTTTGAGTAGTGAGTAAACTGTGTAATTTTGTAGTTTCATTTGCAGTTTGAATAAATTTAGATATGTTACTTGTAAAGTGATGAAATGAAACTCTATGATGTTGCAGTTTTTATAAACAGTATCAACAATTGGAACGACCCATTGTATTTTGTAAACATCAACAATAACAATGAGAAGATTAAGTATTCAAAAATAACAATAAGAAAAGCCAATATTGAACAACAAGAATAAGAATAAGATGTTGAATGTGTAAAAACAGGGATTTGTGTGTAAAAACAGTGGATTAGAACGTTTAAAAACAGGGGACTAGAATGTTTTAAAACATATAAAAGAAGGTTTATACATTTTGAAGTATGTAAAATGTGTATATATGAAATATGAAAGAATAATGTACAAATTTGAATGAAAAATAATGAATAAGTGAAGAGAGATGTTACTTTTTTTCCCCATTTCTGTGAATCGGAAGTCAGGAACTATGAAATTTCTTCAGAGTGGTGATGGTTCTTCGTGTTGTTGAGAGTCGCCGATTGGAGAATATGAACGGCTTGGTGTTGTGTTGAAGATGAACGGTTTCGTTCTGTGGTTAGGGTAGGGTTTCAGAGGGAATGGAGTTGAACGTAGGAGAGATGGAGGAATGAGAATGCGATTTCGAGCGGCGGAGATGTAACAGTGTACTGATCAGACTGAGATGATCGTGGGTGATGAAGATGAACGGTTTCGTTTTGTGGTTAGGGTAGGGTTTCAGAGGGAATGGTGTTGAACAGAGGAGAGATGGAGGGCTGAGAATTCGATTTCGAGCGGCGGAGATGTGACAGTGTACTGATCAGATTAAGATGATTGTGGGTGATGGTTGCGCGCGTGTAAATTGGATGATATATTGTGGGTATTTTCGTCTTATTGATAATTTGAGGACTTAATGGAGTATTAAATTTATTTTGAGCCTAAATGGGGTATGATATGTTGGGCTTGGACCTTTGGGTCAGTTCCCTATTATTTATTTATAAGATTGGAATGCTCAAATAGGAGGCCCTATTTATTTGGGCCTAATAAGGTGTCATCCATGGTTTCAAATATCAATCAACACATACAGTTTGGGCCGATCTTTATCAACACATACAGTTTGCCTTTCTGATATTGATCTGTCTTTAATAAATTCATGAAAATAAAAATAAAATGTGTATAAGTTGATTCTCAATATGTTTCGATTAATAACTAATTCACAAGTCCATGATACGATAAGTTTTGACTGTTATAAAAAAAAATTTGGGACAATTATAAATAAAATAAAAACTCTAGAGTTTAGTTTTGTAACAAAATAAACTTTGAATATTTAGATTCTAATTTTTTGATTTATTTTTAATTTAAAACATTAGCCTCTTTTCGTTAAATAAAATTGATGGGAAAAAAATTTCTAATCATTAAACTCAATGTAGGTATATATAAAATATCTAAAATATATTTTTCATGAGTTTAATGACTAAAATATCAAATTTTTTTATTGATTTTACTTAACAAAAATAGGCAAATGGTTTAAATTGAAAACAAATCCAAAATATAAGGTTTAAATTGACAAAATTAAAAATTCAATGTCTATTTTGTTACATGGCCCAAACCGTGGGATTTTTTTTTATTTTTTTTGTGGTAATTTGTTCAAAAAATTTTGTAACTGATGTTTTGAAAGGAAATCACACTTAATATTTTTTTGTTACACCCCGGTCAATATTGATTCATCTTAAAGCTTGGTATAAAACCAAACTCAGAAAAAAGAAGAAAAATGTTTATTTGTACTAAGTATTTTCCAAGTAAAAAAAAAGTAAAGTTGCTATCTGATAATCTGGATGCATACTTGTCGGCTTTTTTTCTTACGAAGAAAAATACTATAAATACGAGCGTTCTATAAATATGAGCGTGTCAATAAGGATTGAAAAATCTTTACAGATTAAATTTAACCAAATTATCAAGAGATTGTGTTGACAGTTCTTTTGCCTCAATGAAGAGGATTTCAAAATTGCTAAGTGTAAAGAAAAAAAATTAAAATAAGAAGGAGGGAGACGGAGAAAGATGATTGAGTGCACAATCAAAGTAATAATTATTTACCTCTACTTCTATGCTTTGAAAAGGAAGTGCATAAAATGCTTTGAAAATGAAATGCTTCGAAAAGGAAGTGCGTAAAATAAAATACAAGAAATATAAATGACAAGAAAAATAGAAATCAATTGTCTTTTATTTGAGTTCTGTATCCTTTACAATGTAGCCATTGATGGCTATTTATAAAGGAAAAAATACAGCAATAACTACTTAGTAACTACCCATTTCTCTCATCTTCATCCTTGTCTTGCCATGTGTCATTCCACTCATCCACTTTGTCCTTTATGTTCTCCACTATCTCCATAACTTCTTTTAACTTCCAAATGAATAAGAGGATGACATGTGTCCTGAAAATAATAACAATAATAATAAGAATAAGAATATTTTAGAGTGCCAACATTATCCCTCACGGCCCTTAAAAATGATGTTTACTTGAATTTTTGAAAGGCTGAACTAAGCACACATATTGTCATTTTTGTGCCTCTAAAAAAAAAAAAAAAAAAAAAAAAAAAAAAAAAAAAACTACTGTTAAGCAGGCCTTCGGTAATCTCGGATTACAGGCTGGTTACGGTGCTAAACCCATAGGGCCGGGTTTGGGTCGTGACAATAAATGTGAGCATGTCAGTAAGGATTGAAAAATCTTTACAGATTAAATTCAACCAAATTATCAAGAGATTGTGTTGACAGTTCTGTTGCCTCAATGAAGAGGATTTCAAAATTGCTAAGTGTAGAGAAAAAAAATTAAAATAAGAAGGAGGGAGACGGAGAAGATGATTGAGTGGACAATCGGGGTGATTACGTGAACAATCAAACTAACTATTAATTTACCTCTACTCCTATACTTTGAAAAGGAAGTGTAGAAAATTTACTTCTGCTCTTATGCTTCGAAAATGAAGTGTATAAAATTAAGTGCAGGAAATATAAATGACAAGAAAAATCGAAATCAATTGTCTTTAATTTGAGTTCTGGATCCCTTTACAATATAACTATGAATGACTATTTATAGGCAAATATTTGTAGAAAATAACTACTTGATAACTACCACATCCTTCCGTCTTCCACATTTCACACTCCATGATCTTCCACTTTATCTCTATGTCTCCATAACTTCTCTTAACCTCCAATTCATGCTCTATGTTCTCCACTTTGTCCTCCATCATCTTTCACATGTGTTTAATGATTCATAACTTCTCATAACCTCCAAATGAGTAGGAGAGTGTCGCGTGTCTAGCAATTATATAAATAACAACTAATAATAAAATTATTTATTTATGGTGCCAACATTACCCCCCGTAGCTCTTTCAGAATGAGGAACCTCAAATTCACGAAGAGTTGTACAACAATTTAGACCATATTTAGCTATTAATTAATGTATTCGAAGGGGGACACGCATTCGAAGGTTCTTTTAACATGATTCAATTTTGTTAAAAAAAGAACCAAAACCTTGCTCTGAAGGTGCTCACGGCATATTTTATAAGCTTCAAAAGAATAATACTTAAAGATGATTGTTTTATTAGCCATTTTATCAAGTTCATAAATTTCTCCACTTAAATTGTGACTTTTTTCATCCACCAAATAATATTGTAATGAATGGAAGTTTGTTTCATCAAGAAAATGAATCTTTTCATGAAAGCCAAAAGTTTTCATCTAGACTATTTGGAATGGCTAAATCTAATTCATTTTCCATTTCTTATACTTGATGTCCCACCAGATATGCCAAAAATATATGTTGGCTTTTTTTCCTACAAAGGAAAATACCATAAATGCGAATGTGCAAGTAAGGATTGAAAAATCCTTACAAATTAAATTCAAGCTAATTATCAATCAATTGTGTTGATAGTTCTTTTGCCTCAATTAAGAGGACTTCAAAATTGCAAAGTGTGGAGAAAAGAAAAATTAAAAGAAGAAGGAGGGAGATGGAGAAAGATGATTGAGTAAGAATCAAACTAACCATTAATTTACCTCTACGTCTATGCTTCGAAAAAGAAGTGCATAAAATAAAGTGTAGAAAATTTACCTCTACTCCTATATTTCGAAAATGAAGTGCAGGAAATATAAATCACAAGAAAATAGAAATCAAATTTCTTTGATTTGAGTTATGGATCCTTTTACAATGTAGCCATGAATGGCTATTTATAGGCAAATATTTGTAGGAAAAAACAACTTAATAACTACCACATCCTTCCATCTCGTACACTTCACACTCTATGATCTTCCACTTCATCTCTATGTCTCCAGAAATTCCTTTAACCTCCAATTCATGCTCTATGTTCTCCACTTTGTCCTCCATCAACTATTGACACGTGTTTAATGATTCATAACTTCTCATAACCTCCAAATGAGTAGAAGAGTGCCACATGTGTTGTAAATATATAGATAATAACTAATAATAAAATTATTTATTTATGGTGCCAACATTACCCCCCTCAACTCTTTCAGAATGAGGAGCCTCAAATTCATGAAGAGTTGTAAACAATTTCGACCATATTTAGCAATTAATTAATGTATTCGAAGGGAGAAACGCATTCGAAGGTTCTTTTAACATGATTCAATTTTGTTAAAAAAAGAACCAAAACCTTGCTCCGAAGGTGCACACGACATATTTTAGAAGCTTTAAAAGAACAATGTTTCAAGATGATTGTTTTATTAGCCATTTTATCAAGTTCATGAATTTCTCCAATTAAATCGTGTCTTTTTTCTTCTACCAAATAATATTGTAATGGATGGATGTTTGTTTCATCAAGAAAATGAATCTCTTCATGAAGATCCAAAATTTTTTATCTACGCCAAAATATTTCATCTAGACTATTTGCAATGGACGAATCTAATTCATTTTTTTTTTCTTACACTTGACGTTCCACTAGGCGTGCCAAAAATATATGTTGCCTTTTTTTCCTACGACGGAAAATACTATAAATGCAAGTGTGCTAGCAAGAATTAAAAAATCCTTACAAATTAAATTTAAGCCAATTATCAATCGATTGTGTTGACAGTTCTTTGCCTCAATTAAGAGAACTTCAAAATTGCCAAGTGTGGATAAAAGAAAAATTAAAAGAAGAAGGATGGAGATGGAGAAAGATGATTGAGTAACAATCAAACTAACCATTAATTTACCTCTACTCCTATGCTTCGAAAAAGAAGTGCATAAAATAAAGTGTAGAAAATTTACCTATACTCCTATGTTTCGAAAATGAAGTGCAGGAAATATAAATGACAATAAAATAGAAATCAATTTTCTTTGATTTGAGTTATGGATTCCTTTACAATGTAGCCATGAATGACTATTTATAGGCAAATATTTGTAAAAACAACTACCTAATAACCACCATATCCTTCCATCTACATACTTCATACTCCATGATCTTCTACTTCATCTCTATGTCTCCATAACTTCTTTATCTTCAATTCATGGTCCATGTTCTCCACTTTGTCTTCCATGATCTTTTTACATCTATTTAATGATTCATAACTTCTCATAACCTCCAAATGTGTAGGAGAATGCCCCATGTCTTGCAATTGTATAGATAATAACTAATAACAAAATTATTTATTTATGGTGCTAACAATACTGGAAATAGGAGTCCTTCAACTACTAGAGCCATGTGGATGATTTTCTGAAGAATAATAATAAATAAGGTAAATTACATTGACTTTTAAAAAAAAATGAAAAAAATACAAGTATTTTTACTGTTTTAGTATAATTATTATACGAACTTTCTTTTTAGTAAATTTAAATAAATCGAAATTAATGCGAATGATATAAACATCCAAGGATAAATAAGAAAAAAGGACAAATTGTGACAGTAATCCCTATACTTTGGTCATTGTGTCATTTTGATTTTTATAATATTAATTGGCTCGATTTTGACTATGAATTTATGATTTTGTTTTAATTTGGTCTAATTGATTACAACTCTTAACATTTTTTATTAAAAAAATGTATATAAGTGGCATGTGTCATATTTTTTAGAGTGAAATTATAAATTTACTAATTTCAGTAAGTTAACCTCAACCAATTTCATGATTATTTTCAATCAAAACCAGTAACAACATTATCAATTGGATCAAATTGACAAAAAATTTAAAATTAAGGGTCAAAATCGTGTCAATTGAAAGTGTAGAAACCAAAATGATACAAGTGACAAAATGTAGCGACCACCGGTAATTTGCCCTAAGAAAAAAAATATATAATTCAATATAAAAAGAGATAACAACATTATTTTTCATCCACATAACTAACAAAATATTGATAAAATTGTATAAATTAAAATTAAAAAAAAGATATAATTATATTAAAACAGTGAAATTTTTTAGGGGTATTTTTTTAAAATCCTTGATATTAAGATTTTATAAGATAAAATATTTTCATAGTAGTTAAGGTTCTTCAACATTTTTACAGATAAAATTCGACTTAGAGAAAATTTGCCAAACTTAGAGAAATTTCAGTCCCAATATAGAGAAATTTATCTGATTTCATAGAGAATTTTTGAAATTTCTCTAGTATGATCACAAAAAAATTTCATCGAGGGACTTTAGCTAATAAAAAAAATATCTCGGACTTCTTCTACTACACAAAGTTAAAGAGGGACGTTTCACTAATTTTCTCAATTTTTTATATTTTATTCAAACTTGTGATAAAATAGTTATAAGAGCATCTACATCAAGCTGACTATGGTTTTAGGACAAAATTTGCTTAACAAGGTGCAAAATCACTCCTCCATCAATTTCGCTACACTCAAAATTAAATTTGGCATTACTACACTAAATCACTTCATATAGCGATGTATTGTTCACAGGTTATACAATATTTTACTATTTATTCTTAAGAGTGATCGGACATTCTACTGGCCATCCGGCCGAACATCCTGCCGAACGACCGACTACTACACCATTTTTTTTTGGAATATGAAATATAATATTTTATTATTTATTACAAGTCATTCAATCAGACATCCTACCGGCTGACCTGTTCTGTACCATTATTATTATTATTATTTTTGAAGAATATCACAACTTTTCCTAAAATCTTCTAGAAGCTGCTTTGGACGGGATTATTTGCTTAATCCAATAAATCATAAAATTAAATTTTAGAATTAAGAATTACAAATAATAAATACTAATAAATAAAATAAAAAAATAAATTTTTAATTAGAATTTAGTTCAAAATTTGTTAAGCGTCCCGTGGATGCTCTAATGTGAGGATTTTACGCAGTCGCTATTTCAACCTCTTAAACTCCATAGCCCAAAAAAAGAAAAATCCAAAGACTAAAGTGCAAAAGAGCCGCCCGTCAATTAGGGCCTTGGGATCAACTTAGAAAAGGATTTATTTATTTATTTTAATGTAAGGGGGTGTGGCACATTTGAGGCATATGCCCCAAGGTCTCAAGTTCCATTCTCTTTGGGCCAGCTACTTAGGTTACAACACATGTGATGAGAAGGTGAATCATTCCTGGTATTAGGAGTGTGGATTTGAATCCCTAGTTGTGTACAAGTTCATGATTTACCACTATATGGTTGAGTGGTCTTATTGTTTAGCAACCATCTAAGAGTGACATCCGAAGTCTCAGTTCCTTACTGAGTCTAGTCCCAAAAATTACCACTCTGTAGTTAAACTTTTTGAAAATATAAAAGATTTTTAGGGAAAAATAAAAAAGAATTAAAAAATAAAAATATAACCTTTTTCACTAGCATAAACTTTTTCAAACACATTTTTTAAGGATAAATTACACTTCGTCATTTTATGTTGGGTCACGTTTCCACTTTAACACTTACAGTTTTTATTTTGACCCTTTATATTTCAAGTTTTTTTTACTTTACTCATAAAACTAACTTTTATTCAAAATTAGGTAGAAAATGTCACAATAACTGTCACATAACATAAAAAATACATTATTATATTAAAATTTAAATTTACGTCGGATGTGTGAGTTATATAATAAAATATTTTTACATTGTTAATCTGTCATTTTTTTGTCTAATTTTGAATAGAAATTAACTTTAGGAGTGGGTGTGCAGAATTGAGGGTGTATGTGGACGTGGGTGTATAGAGAAATTCTGTGTGTGCACACGTGCAAGTAAGTGTTGTGTTGGAAGCCTAGAGAGTGTGCACTTGTGTGTGTTGTGGTGTTAAGAAATAAGGTGTGTGTATAGGTGTAATGTTCTGAGAGTTGTTTTCTATGGTTTTGTGGAGCAATGTAGAGAGAGAGAGAGAGAGAGAGTGAGCGAGCTTGAGAATTCAAGAGTGAGAGATGCAGAGCTCACCTTAGAAAGGGAAACCCATATTTGTGTTGGAAATTGGAAGATGAAGAAGAAGGCGTAAGGGGAAATCATCAATAATCTTGAAATTAAAGCTTAAGGTATGTGATTAATACTCAATTCATGTAGAATCTTTACCTTATACTTGAAATTAAGAAGAGTTTAAGATCAATTTCATGGAATTTATAGGCAAATGGATTTTGAATAAGAATTTAAGTTTGGAATCACATTCATGAAATTAAAAGGAGTTTAGCAAGAGATGAAGAAATTGAGCTTTAATGATAAAATATGAAAGATTATATAATGTTTCACCATTTTGAGTTTGAATTTAAGAATCCATACATGCATGTGTGTTCATGTCTTGTATATTGCTTTAGAAATTCTTGCAGTTTGTGGCCTCCACTTCATGTTTGAAGAGTTAAGAGTTGAAGCATTTGAATTAATAATGGATTCATGATTTTGGGTTTGGATTTTGAACTATTGATGCATGAAAGCCTTGAATTGCATTTTATTTTAGAAATTTTATAAGTTTCTATATTCAATTTCATGTTTTATTCTTCAAAGAAAAAGAATTTGGAAATCTTTACATGCATGGAAGTTTTGGATTTAACCATAATAAATTGATAAGAGTTTGAGCAAATGGTTTACAAATGATTATGAAATTATGTTTTCTAAAGTATATTCATGTTTTTGATCAAGCCATACTAGACCCCAAGTTCTGAAAATAAGTTTGGAAGCCATTTTTATGAAATTAGCAGTTCTGAAAATCGCAGACCGCTCGAGCGGTCGAGTTATCGCTCGAGCGCACTTTGAAGGCAACCAGAAAATATTTTTGCAGGTCTGAAAATACTGTGAACCCATGTTCACCGCTCAAGCGGTCACCCTGTTTTGTCACATTGTGGAAAATCATTCTGTGTTTGTATTTTCGTTCTCATCTTTTTCCAAGTATTTCTAGGCATGATTTAAGTCTCATGAGAGATTAATGAGTAACAATCAACACAAATAAATGAATAAGAAAGAGAAGTTATATGTGAT